AGGTTGGAGGCCATCGCTTCTAGGTTGGAGGCCATCGCTTCTATAGGTTGGAGGCCATCGCTGTAAGGTTGGAGGCCATCGCTTCTAAGTTGGAGGCCATTGCTATTAGGTTGGAGGCAATCGTTTCTAGGTTGGAGGCCATCGCCATATAGGGTTGGAGGCCATATGCTTCTAGGTCGGAGGCCATCGCTATACGGTTGGAGGACATCGCTATGAGGTTGGAGGCCATCGCTTCTAGGTTGGAGCCCATCGCTATAAGGTTGGAGGCCATCGCTTTCAGGTCGGAGGCCATCGCTATAAGGTTGGAGGCCATCGCTTGTAGTAGGTCGGATTTGCCATGGCACAGAAGAACTTGGCCCTTGCCCACAGCTCAGAAGTGAAGAGATTTTGGACCACAATTTTGAACACGTAATTTTCTGTACCCAATCCCGAAAGCTTGAAAGCGCACCCAGCAACAAAAATATCAAAACGAGCCGCGTTTGTAGATACGATTTCGAACTGGAAGAAGATAAGAATATGAAAAACATTAATCATGAACATGTTTTTTGTGTTTGAAGGGATTGTCCATAGGCTTCGTGTGGCCAAAGTGCCCAGCATGGCTCAAGCTCTACGATGAGTTCCCTGCGGCGCTTGGGTCGTTTGAGCGTTCTGGGTCTTTGCGCGTGTGCGGCGCCATGGCCGGCCTTCCTGGGTCGCAGAGCGGTCGCAGGTGGGTCCGTGGCGGAGAGTTGCAACTACACGTCTTTTGACGGGAAACTTCAGGAGACTGGACACACAGCGCCTGCTGCAACAGTGTTGAGATGAGTCTAGCTGCGGTCTAGCTCCACGAATTATTTCGCAGGAAAAGCGTCCTAATTCATTTTGCCGACTTCTGCCGGGTGATGCGGCAATTCTTGGATGGGAGAGCACATGATGTTCATTCCTTTTCTGTGTTCCAGGTTTGGCTGGGATTGCCTCCCGACCGGCGCATGCCGAGGATTGGGAGAACTGTCAAACTGTGGGTTCAAAGATTCTTCTGAGCTCCTCAGTTCCAGTTCATGATATCTTATAGATTCTAGATAAACAGACACTAACATCTGGCTACCGCAATGTCAGGAGGGGCCTTCCGCAGAAGACGCCATTCTGTTGCGGAGAGCCTTCGAGATCCTTGCAAGGGATCCCCGCAGGCGGTGGGCTCCGCACACATTCGGCATGTTTCGCCACTTGTCCAAGAGGAAACACTAGCGAAAAGACAAGAAGAACAGGGAGGTCCACATGCTCTGCAGCATGCTTCAGCTATCTCCAGCTCATGATGACAAATTGACTTAGCAGTTGCCGAACCTGCCATGTTTGCCGTTCTGAAAATTGTACTTGTCAGGCCAGGGGCACGAGATGAACTGGAAGATGCAGAAGAGGCGAAGATGAACTGGACCTGGTCGACTTCTTTTGGTCGGGTGACGAACCTGTCAACGCATCAGACGGTTTTTGACAAGCATTCAAGAAGCGTCTTGCTCTTCAAGACTTCAATCCTTCCATGTTCTTACTTTTTCACAAGTTTTGCACAGTGTTACTCCAAGCATCTGCAAGCAGTTTGGCGCCAAGACATTCAGTGGATTACAAAGTACTAAGAGGGGTCTTCATCAATCCGCAGTCGGATGAGTCGGACATACGTTCGCGCAACTGTTCAACAACCCTTGAAACCTCAGCTTTCGGAGTTGCTTCCTAGTACGGTTGATCAGAAAGTACTCAGCTCCGTCCCCCGCTGTGAGGCGCTCTCGAAAGTGATTGAAGACTTCCAGGCCGGCGCCTCGCGCCAGGACATCGGCCGGATCCGCATGGCTCGCGCGCAGGCGGGAGCCATGGGGCGTTGGTTCAGCTGTGAATTTGAGGCAAAGAGACAAAGACTTTGCGAGAAAAACCATCAGATCATCTTCCAAGTGTTATTCGGAGGGAGCTATTGAGCTATTTGATTGGGAGAGTCTATACTGTAGATTGTGGATGATGCAATTTTACCTCCTAAGACAATGATATATATATATATATACAACTTAAATCAAGGAGATCTGATCTAAGCAACTCTCCTCCACTGGCTGGGCACTGCGTTAGCTTGGTGATAGGTTAGTGGGATGCATGTTAGTTTTGGATAGTTTTGGCATCTTGACAGTATGGCGTATCTCTGTGATGTGACCAGAAACATCTCTAGAAGGAATCAAGCTGGAAGGATATCAAAATAGAACTTGGGATCATTTCAGTGTTCCATTCGGTGCTTCCAGTGCTTCTTACATTCACGGTATGAGAGAGAAGAGAGCGACTGGCATTTACAGGCAAGAATTGCTATCAATGACAGCACAGGCCTGAGGGTCTCGGGATATTTGAAAGACCTTCGGCCGCCGTCGGCCAGCATCTTCCCAGAGTTGCCACTGACAAACCTTCCACCTCGATGGCCAAAAGAGAGCCCACTTCAGTTTTGACAGAAAACGACCCCCCGAATAGAGATGGCCTCCAACCTAAGAGCGATGGCCTCCAACCTACTAGCGATGGCCTCCAACCTACTAGCGATGGCCTCCAACATAGCGATGGCCTCCAACTTATATAGAAGCAATGGCCTCCAACCTAAGAGCAATAACTTAGAAGCGATGGCCTCGAACCTAAGAGCAATAACTTAGAAGCGAGGGCCTCCAACCTACTAGCGAAAACTTTTTACTAAAGAGCGCTGGCTATTTGCGCTTCATGCTCAAAAGTCCTGGAACGCACGTTGTGGCTCCACGTGTTGCGATTTCCTCCGAGGGGGAAAGCTTCCGGAGAAGGCGGAAGCCGCCGTGGAGGACTACACGGAAGTCGTGCGGCTGATGGAGGAAGATGCCACCTCTGAAGGTGCCTTCGTGAGAAAAACGGAGCATCGTTGGACGGAAGTGTCTGGTTCGGAGAGAATCATGAGAATCGAGCGGAGGCCTTTGTTACAGTCTTTTTTTGGGGGGTTGGGGGCGGAGAGTTTTGCTTTGTTGTGCGACCTCCTTTTGTCAGCTCTTGCAAACTGCAGTTGAGGTACTTTCGACTACCCTAATGTATTCGTCCGGCGGGCATTGGCAGAGGAGGAGATTGCCTATGGAAGGCGTGACAAAAAGCAATGGGAAGCTGCAGTACAGGACCGTTTCAGCAAATACAAAGACTCCCATGTCGATAGAAAAGGTGTTGTACTAAGACGAGTCGGGAATTGCAAAGTGGGACATTGTAGAGTGCACCTAAAGGTGTTGAGCACTTGCTCACTTTCTGGTGATTCAATTAAGAAACTTGACGAAGCATGAACCTTCCTCCGGAGATGTGTGTAAGGGCCAAGCACCTGGGAAGGCACAAACGCCAGTGATTTACAACAGACATTGACAGTTTCCTCAGTTTCCCAGTCTGCAGGACTACAGCAAGGCCATTGACATTTGGCGATCTAGACCAATTTCGGAGCTCCTCGGCACCGGTCAAGTTGACGGTCAAGCAATGGCTAACAAGAAGATATTGCACAGTAAGCTGTTCAAAGGCCAACAAGAAGATTGCCTTGGATTGGCACTCCACCTTTCAAGCGCAGATTTGAATGCAATGTCAAACTCTGATACCTTCCAGGCTCAGCGCAATCTCCAGTCTCCTTTAGAATGACACATGCTTAAATCAAAAATACATATACAATATTATTGCTGTTTTCCCTATAATCATGAAACCACGGATTTCCTTTTCTATTTCGGGACAGGATCTGTTTGAATTGAAAAGAGAAGCGCCTTGGTCCATTGAATGGCAAAACAACACCTCAAAAACTACCTGGCAGGAACACAACAAAAGCCCATCAAAGATCGTCAAAGACATCAACGATTCGTTTACGACTGCTTCATTTGGCCTTATGGACCGCCTTCTGGACCGGCTTTTGAGGACCGGTTTGGGCGTGAATCCCCTGGTCTTAAACTTCCGTGGCAACGCCTTCAGCCAACTGGGCCGCTTCCGCGAAGCGCTGGCCGACTACCGCGAGGCCACGGAGATCTTCCGCCAGGACCGCCTGTCGCCCCGCCACGGGGAGGGTCATTAGCCGATTCAGAAACCAACCGATCAGGCAACTACGATTCAGAAACCAAACCAGGCGATTCAGCAACCAAAAGAGCCGATTCAGAAACCAAAACAGCCGATTCAGAAACCAAAACGGCCGATTCAGAAACCAAAACAGTCGATTCAGAAACCAAGTTAGACTGTTCAGAAACTAAGCCAAGATAATTAATAGCGTTCCATGCGGACGCAAAGGGCTTTTACATTCAGTCAAGTAAGAAGTAGTGGTGGACGGCAGGAGGAGTGTGGGGTGGGGGGGGTGGGGGGGAACCATGGCCAAGATAGTAACGTTCCATGTGGATGCAAAGGGCTTGGGTGGAGGGTACAAGTAGGAGGAGTGTGGGGCGGGGGGTGAATCATGGCCAAGATAATAACGTTCCATGTGGATGCAAAGGGCTTTTACATTCATTCAAGTAAGAATTAGTGGCGGAGGAGCGTGGGGTGGGGGGGTGGGGGGGAATCATTGCAAAGATAATAACGTTTTTCCTGTTGCTTCGCGGACAGATTTTGCATCGGTCGCACCATCTACTGCTACTACTACTACTACTACCACCCGGGTCATCAGTTTCTTCTTTTGGAAATGTGTTTGGTTTTGGTTTCCTGGTTTTGGTTACCGAATCAGCAGTTTTGGTTACCGAACCAGAAGTCGACCCACGGGGAGGGTGGGTGGACGGTGGATGGCGCAAAGGTCGGTTTTTGGAGGAAGTCAGGTTGACATTTGAGCCCTTGACTTGGAGGTAGGTATCGGAAATGCACCCTGTTTCTGAATTTCAGTTGAAGAATGGTACGAGGTGCCTGTCCATGAACAAGCCTGCGACTTCAAGATGCTGTTGTGGTGCTTGTCGTTGCATGTCGTTGGGCCGCCACAAATTTTTGAGATGCGGAGCCGGTAGGAAAGGACTCGTGGTGCAAAGTCTTTTCGACTCGCCTTCACATACCTTTGCTCAAAGGTATGTCATTTACATTCATTTACACGAAAGACTCACCACATGTCAGGCCTTGGACCATCTCTCAGAAACATTAACATCCCCAAATCCAATTCAATCCCTGCACCTTTGCGGAGGTTAGTGAAACCTTTGTACCCAACCATGCCACGTGAAGGACAACGAGTACAGCCAGGCCGCCGTGTCTCGCTGCAACGAGGCTCTAGCGCTCTTTGGCGCCGAGGAGGATGCTGAGGCGATCCAAATTATGGAGGAGACGGCGAAACGAAGATGGCCTCCACCCTAGTAGCTTCTTGCTCCTAGTAGCGATGCCCTTGTTAGTTGTTCCTAGTAGCGTGCCAGGAGCTACTAGTAGCGTCCTTGTTCCTAGACTATTGCAGACGAAGATCCAGATTGTCATCACGGCCCATTGGCCTTTGTTGAGTGGCCTTTGTTGAGTGGCCTTTCAGACAGAGCAGATACGTTGTACAACTTCGCCTCAGACAGATGAAGCAGTATTGGAATGTATTAGGTATGTAGTCAGTATTGTGTGTCATTTGTGGTTGGTGACACATTTCAGCTTTTACTTTGTCCTGCAATGTCCTGCAGATGGTCAGCAACTAGGAATAGGCCAAGACCAGGGACTATAGGTTATTCTGTGTGTAATTGGCAAACCCTCAATGCCCATGGAGCCGGTAAGCAAAAAAAGAGATAACAAGACCATCAGGTCCCAAACCCTTGTAGAACGATCATTGGGCTACTGCAGTGGTCCCTGTTCAGACTCCAGGACTTACATGTCCGGGGTGGTGTTTCGTCAGTGGATGTGGAGGTTGGAACTTCCAAGGATGTCAACCTTCCAGGGTTTTGCCTTTTGGTGCAAAACAGTTGTTTTCACTCAATCCCAGTTGGACACCCACGTAGGATTGTTTAGTAACGTTTTTGTGGAAAACAGAACCATGGAAGACCTGAATGGTGCGGAAAAGCCCGGCAAGCGTTCTGAACCTAAGGTTGGGTAGTTTCTCACAGGTACCAACATTGCACGGGATTGCCAAAATGAACAACTAATAATTCAACTATGTATACAGTGAACACCTTACAACTTCACAAGGATTCACCATTCTCCTTCGTCAACAGAGGACTCTTCCAGGAGTCTCTTAGTCAGCTTTTGGCACCTGACTTGACTGAAACCATGTTTTGAGACAGGTGAGCCTCGCAATGGGGGGCCGCTTGAGAGGCATCACAATCATCGTGGTGCTTTTTGGGTTTATACAGCCCAGTCCCTGCTCAAAAACATCTATAAGTTCATTGCCTCACCTTGGGGCATCTTGCTCGTTCAAGACACAAACCAAAACGGGGCTTGAACGAAGCTTTCCGCGATGTACCCAAGCAGGACGTATCCAAGCGAGACCCGAATATTGTAGATGCCCACGTCGCTTTGGCGGTCTCCTACTGGTCTTCCAGCAACTATTCACGAGCTGAAGACGAATGGCGAGTCGCATGCCAAAATACTGAACTGGGGTGCCAGCAGTATAAAGACATATCTTGGGTGAAGGACTCGATGCGGGGTGGCTGCGAGGGTATGCCTGCGATGTTGAAGTTGAAAGGGACACAAGAACACATGTCCCAACCCAATGGATCGAAGCATTCAGTCATAATCTGTGCCTTTCAATAGCACAAACCTCTGGTAAAAAGCACAACAGACAAATGCTTTGAAACCACGCCCGTCTCAAGCAGCTGAAAGTGTCTAGTCTGTCAGGACATCCGTCGATGGCCTCCTCCCTTGGTTTCGAGATTGGAGCGCTTCTTTGCCCGAGACACTCGTGAGACCTGACAACGGGCAGGCAGGGCCTGCGGGTTAGTAGTTAGCTACCTGAACCATCCTGAACCCTCCACCATGAAACGAGCTACAAGAAGATTGCGTAGAGAACCACCAAAGGAATATACTTAGTTATTATATGCAAGAAATAGCATGAAATGGTGGGTGAACGTGGGTGGTACAAATATCATATGAGTCCATATCCGGAGAAAAAGTTACAATCTTTGGACTGTCTGGTGACTTGGGTATGTGGATGCTCTCTTAGACCAACTAGCCAAAGGATGCTGGTGAACAGACCAACCTTTGCGTCGAGAAGCGCGAAGTTCAGCGGTTCTCGACGGCTGCAAAGTTCAGCTCATTCTTTCGCCAAAGAAAAAGCGGGGAGGAAGGATTGTGCGCTTTGGGAGGAAGGACTGTGCGCTCCTGGATGCACTGGATGGTGAGATTTGGGGGATGGGATGATCAGCTTCCTTTCTCGAGATGCAAACCGGAGCGCTTCAGGTCACCACAGATTGCGCGTACTGCAGGAACATGTTGGCTGTCTTTGCAAGATTTGGATTGATCTACACCCTCGGATCAAAACTGCCAGCCCTACCCGCAAGAGCCTGCCAGCACCGGTGTTGCCGCTCCGGGTGATCCCAGTGTAGGCTCTTGTCACACCGCTGGCCGGGTGTGGGGCGCAGCATGGGCAACAACTGTAGTGTTTACTACAGAGTCAAGGCGCTTGAGGCCAACCCACTTGGTGCTTCTAGTGGATGACAGTGAGACGATGGGCTATGTGCTCACTGGGCGCCTTGTGATTGCTTCAGTTGTCCGGCATCGCTGGGTCGTCTGAAGGTCTGCTCATGTTTGCTAGCAGGGGAGGCCGGAAGGAAAGTGCGAATCACTATCCTTGCAAGAGCAAACTAGACCAACAAACACACGAGCTTCATCTGCAGGGGTTGTAGTTCCTGCAACTAGCTGCCATTGAACGCCCTTCAACAAGAAAACTCCAGACCACAGATGCTGCACTGGACGCCTTGGCCAAATTTGATTTGGCACACAAAAATGTAGGCCAGACTTGTATTGCTTGGTGCATGAGACAAGTACTGTACCAACTTGATTTCTTGATGACCAACTGGTTTTTGGACGACACAATCGCACAACTGCAGGACAAACAAACGCTGACACTGCACTTTTTCTTGGTCGGCACATTACGATAAATACAGTAAGCTGCTGGTGGCATTGCTTGATTGACATGATTCCTCCTCAGACCTTGCTCAAGGCTTACTGTGCATCAATGGTCATGGGGTTGCACGCGATGATGCACAAGCCGTGGTTTCAAGCCCAGTCACTCACCATGTGCTGTTGAGTATCGGAAGGGCAAAGGGACTTGAGCCTGTGTTTTGTCTTCCAAAGCTAGAAGGTCTGGATGCGACCTGCAGCAGAGCAGCTGGAGGCAGAATTTGCTGTTGCTTCCACTTGAGGTGGGCACGATTTCCAAGATAAACTATAAACTTATCGGTTCCATTCAGTTCCTATGCTGATCCATGGCGGCGAAGAGTTTGGGGGCGATGCTTTCGGCGAACGCGCGGAGTCAGGCCATGTAAGCAGAGTCTTAACTTTTTGGCGTCAAAGACATGAAGTCACATGGATGTTCTTTTCCATGGAGTTTGTTTCATGTGTTCTTGGCATCTCAATCCACTCATTGCTGAACATATGGTCTCTTTTGGCTGAACAAGCTTTGTAAAATCACTAAACTAATGCATAAACAAAGCACAAGCAACGGTGAAACATGTGGGGTGTCGTTTGATTGCATCGAACATACCCCTTGTGCCAAGTGCTCTGATTTTTCCCGTACATGGGCCAGCGCTTCGCGAGCCTTTAGCTTGCACCTTTTAGCTTGCACCTTTTAGCTTGCACCCGCTCTGGCTGTTGACCTGCCATGGCGCTCAAAACGCCATTGACGGAGCTGCTGGGGATTCAACACCCCGTGATGCTGGCTGGCATGAACGGTGTCGCCCACGCCGATTTGGCCGCGGCCGTGAGCAACGCAGGCTAATCCTGTGATCGGGGATTAGAATCCAAGCGCAGCCATGGCACCACGAATAACGAATTCTCATCATTCCTGTGTACCGACTTTGACACTTTTCAATGAGTTAAACATTGAGTCTAATCTTGTGTTCCAAAATGAGTCGTTTGCCCTGACCTTGCAGGGCCAAATGCTTCAGGGTCCTAAGTTTTTGAGGCACAGACACGCGCACACACACACACACACTCGAGATATTGCGTACGGAACTGAATGCCACATGCCACACGCCCACCTAGGTATGAACGCCTAAGAGTACCATGAGTAAATGAAGTAGGTCTAAACAAATCTTGAAAGTCTCGAACCGCGGCTCTCGGCTACAGGGTGACGGCGAATGCGCACGTCTGCAGCATGCAATAGCCCTTTTTGAAAGATTGGAGTAAAAGCTGGGACAGCAGGTCAACAAAGCAGGCACAGTACACCAGGTTGATCAGACCTGGCTTCCACCATCACGCATAGCTTCGTTGGCATGCGTTTGCGTGATGGCCGCGTGCCCCCTGCTAATGATGAATCTCACAAATCGAAACGCACAATTCGAAGCGAAATCAACGGATTCCCTGTGACTCCGAGGGTTTCCACACAGACATGGGTCCTTTGGGCCTTTGAGACGCCTTGGATCTTTGCGCATCCAAAAGCCGCAGAAGGCGGACTGAGTTTGTTCTTTGGATCCACGAATTGGTTCACACACACAAAGCGCACTGTCTTGTGAATATTTGGCTTACAGGGCATTTGTTTTTGAAGAGTGTGTTGGCATCCTTGACTTTGGTCTCGTTTAGACTGGTACCGGTTGCATTTTCAACAAAAGAGCCTTCTATTCTTTTTATTTACCACCACCCTTTTTTGCGTCCGACAAGTGTATAGTATCGCCCGAATTTGTTTTGGAGGAGGCATTGGCTCCATTGGTGGATTGCTGATGTCACCCAAGGCGTTGAGTAAAGAGATTGCCTGGCTCAAGCAAGGCTTGGTGGACAAGTCCTTGCCCTTTGGAGTTGACTTAGCAATTCCACAACTTGGTGGCAATGCCAGGTGAGGGACGAGCGACCAAAGACTTGGTGATTGGACCGGGATTAGGGTTTCTTTAACTGGAAATGTTGCAGACATACTACATACCGTACCAACCATTCTTCTTCAAACAGAACACGTTTCAATTGGAATCATGTTGAGTTGGTTTTTAGTTACTCCAGGAAGACCAACCATGACTACACTCATGGGCACTTGCCGGAATTAATCGACCTGATCGTCGCAGAGAAGGCGAAACTCTTCATTTGTGCCGTTGGGGTGCCACCTCAGTGGGCTGTGGACAAGCTCCACGCTGGCGGTGTGGTGATTGCCAACATGGTGGGTTCAGTGAGGAACACCGTGAAAGCCTTGGATGCTGGGGTTGATATGATCATTGCTCAAGGGACGGAAGGAGGTGGACACACGGGCGAAATTGGTACCATGTGCTTGATCCCTCAGGCAGGGATAGGATTTCTCCATTTCACTTTCTACTTCCTCCACCTTTTGTACCAGTTGTGTGCTTCAAAAAGTCAAACATCACCTACCTAAATCCAATCTTTCACAACTCAACCCACCTATGTGCTGGTGCGTGGCGTGATGATTCTCCAAGCTTCTAGTCACTAGTCTGTAATGTTCTGGAACCTTCGACTAGTCTGTGCCCTCTATCCTTCCCACAGCACCAGGTGGTCGATGCCTGCCGTGGTCGCCGGAACTTCTTCGGTTCCCCCGTGCTCTGCGTGGCCTCCGGTGGCATCTACGATGGCCGCGGCCTTGCGGCCTCGCTCGGGCTGGGTGCTGCGGGGGTCTGGGTGGGGACGCGGTTCATCTGCGCGGAGGAATCCTCGGCGCCCAAGACTCACAAGGTGCGGTTTGGAAGGAGAAGGAGAAGGAGAAGGAAAGATTGAAGAGGTGAAACAATGCGAGGCTATATAACTTGGAGGAAAGAAAGAGAGGATAGAGATGAGAAGAAAGGGTGCAAGTTGAGAAGTTCGAAGATATATACTAGAAGTATATTGACTATATTATCAATACCTATATGGTCAACTAAGAGTTGGAGGATGTCATGATGTCTTTGCTTTAAATGTTGATGGTTACAAGAGTCTGACAGAATCTCGAACGTCCACTATATGTTTTCAGGACAAAGTCCTTGCTGCTGAGAGCCTGGACACCATTCGAACCTTGGTGGTCTCTGGGCGGCCTCTTCGTTTAATCCCCAACGACTGGGTGAGAAGCTGGGAGAAGGAGCCAATGAAGATCAAGGACTTTTGTGAGAAAGGCATCATCCCCTTACAGCACGACCTTAAAGTGGACGATCAGCAGCTGCGGAGGTCTATCCTGGATGCCATCAATAGCTTGGCAGGACAGGCGGTTGGTGGCATTAAGAGTGTAGAGCCTGCGAAGAAGATCGTGGAAGATATGGTCAATGAGGCGGTGGCCGTTTTGAAGGCGAATGCCGCCATGCTGAGTAAGCTGTAGATTCCTGTACAGTCGTCTGCCGCCGATGCGATTGCCAAAGACTCGTGAGCTAGCTCACCGGCTGGATCGTGCTTGTGCAGAGTGTAAAATGTACAAGCCATGGACTTGGCCATGAATGAATTGGCTATCCACAAAACCCCACAGCTCCGTTTCTTGACTACCATAGCCCCAGGCCATGCAGAAGTTGGGCTGCAGAGGGCGAGGTGCTGCCATCACTTCCGGGACATCCATTTCAAGCAAAGACCGATATCATTTCCCTATTTGGGCGCGCCCACCCCCCGCTGAAACTTTTGTTGGATCTCCGTTAAAGTATCATTATTTCCTAGGATCTTTTGGTCAAGATTGAAAGCCCCAGAAAGAAGTAACGTGGCGAATTCAGGAGGGCTCTTGCAGAGCGGGACAAATTTATTGTTTTGCGCTTGGGTAGAACTGACATTGACATGATGCAATACAATGTGGCATGCAGTCTTCGTTGGGATGCTGCAACTCCCAAACATGTCCACCCAACTTCCGCGAGCTCCAAGGAACTTGTGGATGAGCCAAGGATGCTTGTAACCTTCAAAGCGATGTGTAACATGTATTTCAGCTCAACCGAAGCCAAGCAGCTAGTATGTCACAATGTATTTTGAATCAATCAACGAATTTGCACTTTTATAGGTGCCTCACTCTGAGCTGCCCGTCAGCTGCGGCTTCTGCAGCTTGTGGATGCTTGTGGCGCAGACAAAAATGGACTATGGAGAGCCCAAAAACTGAAATTTGCAAGAAATGTACATTAGAAATTAGCCCAGGATAAGAACAATAATACATATATATATATATATATATTTAGCAGAAATTAGCAGAATTGATCCCTCCAAATCTTTGCCAATCGGAGATTGGCACACCACCCTGTCATGGTTTGTGGGATGTCACACCCATATTCGACATGATTCAACATGCATTTTTATTTTTGAGGAGACGTTGGCAAGAATCGAGTAGAGTAGAGTGGATGATTTGCAACCGCAACCTGTTTCCAAGATGAGCAGACACCGTGAATTTGGTTGTGTCCATGGCAATATCACCCAAGTCCAACCTTGGATCTCTCTCTCTCTCTATAATATATACATACATATTATGCCAAACAAAAGAGTGGCAACGAGAGTTGCTCGGAGAGGTTGATCTCCATCCAGCCACTTTTCTCCGAAACAGAGATGACCCAGCGCGTGGCTGAATGGCGCATGCACGCGGATCAGTGTCCGCTCTTCGCCGAGTATTTGCTTTTAGCCGAAGAGGCACCGGGTGGGCCGGGAAGGACTTGCGGTGCGGCAGGACTCGTGCGCAGTTCCCAGGGCACCGCCTCAAAACCGTGTGCAGTTCGTTTGTGTTTTTCAACACCTGCTCTCAGAAGTCCGAGATCCTGGGAGCATTCCATACAAGTTCACCGGTCCGTGCTGGACAGGCTGGATGGGGAGAGTTGGTGGATACGGCTGAAACAAAGATTGGAGGAGGCGACGTTCTTATTGTAGTGGACATGCAGCATCTTGGCATGGACTTTGATGAACAGCATCAGCCTGATGAACATTCGAGATCTCCACATTCTTCGACTCGACCGATTGGCCCACGACCTGGTCTGACCAAGGAATGATTTTGTGGAGGTAGATCAGCTCAATCCCCATGGAGGCCACCTCATGTTGACTGTGGACTGTGGGACTCGAGACGAGCGCACTAGACTGATGGGTACACTATGCGTGAAACACACGTGACTGGACTGATTTAAGATCCTCAATTCCTTCAATATCTCGAAACCAAGGACCTTTTCCTGATTTGATGTCTGGAAGTCGCCTCCTTCGGCCAGGTGCCTTTGCCGTTGCAGAGGGTAGCTCCATTTCCCCTCAGATCGTACAACTCATGAAGCACTTCGCCCGCCGTCCACGCCTCAGCGCATGACACATCGGTCTTTACAATAGAGCATGACACATGAACAGTTGACACCTGGGTGACTTTGACATTTGATGACATTTGAAGACATTCGATCTTTGGGAAGATGCTTGTTCTGATATTTTGACCTGTATGGGCCCAAGGAGGAGGTGATGTGGTGCTCACTAGAAGCTTGGCTGGCAGTTTTGGGAGCTTAAAAGCTCCAGTCGTTGCAGAACTTCTTGCTTCGGAATAGGGGTTTGGGATCCTAGAGATGTATACTATATGTTGGCAAACTCACCGGAATGTCCATGTGCTGTGGTCAGCTCACGTGCTGTTTCTAGCCATCTGCGCTCCGAGGAGATTATCATCCCAAGAAGCACTGCTCATTTCTATCACAGAAAGGTCCCTTCCCAGAGCACTGTGTTCAAGGGACAATGGGCTCCTTTTTCTACGAGCCAATTGGTGCTTGCATCTCAAAGCTTCGAAGTGGTGATGCTCACTACATGGACGAGGTGCTTCGGATCATACAGAGCTGGGCGTTTGTCGTGTTGAGAACACGGCTTTTGGATGCTTTTGGTGTCTGGCATTTGGAAGGGGCAGCCTTCCATTTTTTGACGCAGGTGCGAATCGCGTTCAAAGGCTTCCACGAGGCGGTGGACTCCTTCAGTGCATTTCGATACCCGGACACTCCGAACTCTTGGGCCGGGACTCTCAGAATTCGCGGTGCAACCGCGCACGCGTTTTGACACACGCACACGCACTCGGGAAGGCGGAGTCTTTGCGCCAGGAGCGTATAGCACATTCAGAGGTTGAGGAGGAGAAGCTTCATGGTTGTAGCCTGTCAGCCTGGACTGGGGCAGTCCTTCTGGACAGCTCGAACCAGGCAGCCTGAGACCCGGTTCGTGCGATCACGGGGCAGATCCTTCAGTGGTTATACAAATAACATACAATAGACGACTTTTTCGGACACCACCCAGCTCAGTGAGAAAAATCAGCCTACAGCAAATGAAGGGCCCTTTTTGGCGGGTCTTGCTGTTTAAATCAATTTCCGTTTGCATTTTCTTGGGGTGTTTGGTTTCTTCCCCTCCCCTGTTCCCCTCCCTTTTGGTGTGAGGCGGTGGATCCCAACGCGCCACCGGATGTGATGTCCGTCTATCGGAGGGATCCCCTGAACGAATGGCTGAAACATCGAGGAGTGCGTGGGACCCAGTTGAAATGCAAAGGACTTCCAGACAGTGACTCAAGGCTGCTAGTAGAAGTGGGTGGTAGTGGTAGTAGTAGCAGTAGGAATAATTAGTAGGAGTAGCAGTAGTAGTAGTAGCAGTAGTAGCAGGAGTATTAGTAGTAGTAGTAGTAGTAGTAGTAGGAGGAGGAGGAGGAGGAGGAGGAGTAGGAGTAGGAGTAGTAGCTTAGCAGTAGTAGCAGCAATAAGAACAATTGTCGGTTTGTCGGACGTGGACATGTGAGAGCGGCTTGCTCATTGCAAGAGCTGTTTCTTGGAATCATGTTTGGAAGCACAGAAAGAACATCGTAGAACATGTAAAAAAAAATGGGACATGGCAATGTTTGAACTACATCATGTCCACAGTCCATTCAGAGGATCTGGGTTGTGATGTACATGCTGTACATGTCGATGCGACCAAGGGAACGCGTTTTCGTTTGCGGGTGCCTTGGCTGCAACATACTGCAACCATTTTGTGCTCGTTAGACCATGTTGTTCTGGGGGGAGTGCCAGCTCTATTGACTCGATTGAATGTTTCTCAGATTTTGCTCCTTTGCAAGACCAGTCCGGACCGAACGACTCATGGAACAATCACAGGTTGCTTTCGCACATGGGCCCATTGTTTGCAAACTCACTGCGACTGCACCTATCCCTTGCACCACTTCAGTTGAGAGGAAGGAACCAGCCGTTCCACCTTTTGTGAGGCTTGCCTTGGACTATTGCGTCTTGGACACGGCTCTCAACGGAAAAAGATGGGATTTAGGCTCGGAATGTGATAGAAGGAGGGAATAGA